ACGCTGCTTTGGAAGCAGCCCAGGACACGGTGTCTGTTCTCTCTGATCAGCCCTGCTGTGGAGGGGCTGGAAGTGTCTTTTCAGGGTGAAGGTAAAACTGAGGTTCTGGCTGAACATCCTCATGTCTTTCTGCAGGAATTGTGGGTGGATCAGTCCCAGCTTGGGAGAGTGGGATCTGATCCTGGCCCAGGCTCGGGAGCGCGGATCTGCTGCCTTATTCCCCTGCGGTTTCAGTGAGACACGGTCCATGCTGTTGCCCAGCTGAGGCTTGGCCGTGGTGCTCGGTGGTGGTCAACAGTTCTGTGGCTTGTGCCTCCGTTAGGCAGCGAGACCTTCTGCGTGTTGCGTGGTAGTTTATTTTTGTAAAGTGCTTCGGATCTTTTGCCTGTTAAATATGATACAACAAACAAATATTAAAATAATAAATGCAAACTACGTATAGTAGTAGTAAAATAATAGTAAAAATAAACATATAGAATGTTTATTTTTATGAAGATGGTCTTTGCAAGCGAAGAGGATGTTGCTGTGTCAGAAATACTTACGTACCTTAGCAGCAGTGTTTGGAGCATGGTGCTAAAATGAATCGTCTCTCAAAGCAGAACCAGTTTTCCAACATTTTGCTGCAGGAAGAAAATTGAAATAATGCACCTTATCAGAGCAGTGTCCTTCTTGCGAGGGACATGTCTACTGGGAAGAACCAGCCTGTGCTGCAGCTCCACATGGGCCAGGGGAGAAGGTCTGGCTGTGGGTTCTCCCCCAACGAAGCCATCCGTAGCTCCTGTGGGACAACGGGAATGCCTCTGGGCAGGGCAGTGCCACGTTCCTTAGATGAAACATTCCTTCAGGCGCTTCTGGAGGGCAGAGGCAGGAGAGGGAATGGTCTGAGGGAGGCAATGTTTTCCCCTTTCATAGGTGCTTGTGCTGGTGAGCTGCTCTTAGCCTCTCCCGAGCTCTGGGCTCTGCGCTGGATGAGCCTGTGCCAGCACTGCTGTCCTGCGAACGCTTCCAAAATCCAGCGTCTTTGGTCTGGCTTGGCCACAGTGCTGAATGCTGGTGCGTGCTCACCAGCTGCCTGGCTGGCACTGGCGGGGAGGCAGCGCTTGCCAAAGTAAAGCTGAACACAGAGCACAGCACCTGGAGATGTTTCTTCCTCTGTATTTGTTGCGCCTGAGCGGTACCCGCTGCTGGAGCCTCTAGTTTTGCAAATGGTTTGGAGTGGAGGAGGTGGGATGGCAGAGCTCCAGCTCCTCAGGGCAGGGGTACAGTGGGTGGCCCACGGCTGGAATGAGTGCCACGGTGGCCCATGGGCAGGTTGTGCCTGGGGCAGGAGCTCCCACAGAGGAATCCCTGGGGCAGCAGCTCCCACCCAGTTTTGAAGCTGGCAGGAGCCACTGCCCTTCAGGAAAGCATGGTGCAGCTGAGAGATGATGAGTAGCATCTTCTAAGTCCTACTGTGTGTCTCTGCACACTGTTATCTTTTAACTTTGTGCTTTCAAATGCGCTATGGGGGCTATTTCCTGTCAAAAGTTTCCACTCCCTGCAGTGTAAATGAGATTTCTCATCCGCTCGTCTGTTCAAGCCCATGAACACTCATCTTGCACCGAGGGAACTGCGAGCTGTCAAAGCTCTGGAAAATAAAGAGTTTGATTTCCTTTTAGAAACTTGCCATTAGTCAGTTTGACAAAGCTCAGCACAAGCGTGGGTTCCTTCACCCGGAGCGAAACGGCTATCGGCAACTTATGGCATGCCACAGACTTTGGAAAATGTATTTCTTTTCCTTGCGCGTAGTGAAGCACAGCCGTGCCCACACGCACAACGTTTGGTGTCATTTACTAAAGACAGAACTCACTGTCCTTGTTGATCAAAGCCAGGTGACCATATCTAACAAGACCTAAATATTCTTTAAAGGTGTTTTTCCTGCATTTTTCCACTTCAGATACAGGCAGTGACTGGAACAAGAGAGAAACCAATTCCAACTTTTCAAAAATTGGGAAGGTCGCATCTTGTGCTGCTTAGTCAGCATTTCTATATTGCGTGGTGGTGCATAGACTTACACGAAGGACCTAGTGCTGAAGTTCATGTAGGGCCTTCCCAGCTCAGAACTGACTGCTTCAGTGCTCCTTTGGGCTCCTCCGGCCGGAGGACTTGGACATGTTGGAGCAGAGCATGAGCGGAGTCTGCGTTTGCACCACGTTCAGCACGGACATGCAGGTGTAAGAAATTCCTGCAGGTGTAAGTAAACACCTTTCCTGTAAGAAAGGTGTAAGTAAAATATTCAGACATTCATATTTGCTTTTCTAAACAAGCAAAACTTCTGAACAGGCTGAAATTTGCCCCTGATTTATCGCTTCTGATCCTATTTTATTTCCTCTATGATGTTTGGCCTTAATGAAGTTTAAGTCACATATTTGTGTTACTACCTGAAAAATTTATACCAGTTATAGCTGCAAATAAAAGATGCTCTAATTGTAAAGTAAATTAGGAAAAGCATTTTTTTCTCTGCCTTTCTTCATTGTGTGTGTTTCACAGCACGTCGTGTCTCATCTGCTTCGCTGATTCCCGGTTAGTCATTTTCCCCTGTTTGTGCAGGACTTTCCCACAGCAACTGGGAAGAGAAAAACATTTCAATCATAGGAAAACTGGAAGGGGATTTGCTTGCGGATGCAGGACCTGAAGTGCCGTTCAACTATTTTCTTTTTTTTCTTTTTTTTTTTTCTGCTTTTATCATTTAGGTACTTATTTTGTGCTGTGGTGGTGTCTGAGAACTGTGTGGACCATACCTCCACTGAGGGTCACACGCTGAGAAAAATTCATATTTTGAATGGTTATGGTTGCTATTAGTCAAACATACTGCATTTTATTCCTAAGAGTCTCAGATGTAAATAGAATCTACGAAAATCTGTGCTTGTCACCCCAAGTAGTGGTCAACTGTGTCTGTCTGGGCAGAGGATTGTGCAGTGTGAAGTGGAAGCTCTCAGCCCTGAGGAGTTCCCACACTAAAGCTTTTCTTTGTGCCATTTTTTTAAGCAAGTATTAAATTAGGACAGGATAGTTTTGTCAGTTGTTTCCAACACATCGTTCCCTGTTATTGAGTGCAACTATTTGGCTCCCAATGGCTGTTCCATGTTTGAAGGACGCAGGACAGCAGCAGGACATTTCTAGTGTGAGGTTCATGTACGTAAGACTTTTCTCATAGTTTTTCTTTCGAATTCTGAACACTGACGTGGGGCTATTGTGAATGCCTGTATGTGGCAGCTACAGCAAGAACCACAGTGGTGGGTGCATGATGGATGTTCATATATGTGCAACATAACTGCTTTTGTTCAGACATTGGGGTAAAACAAAACCTGCGATATTTTCTTAGGGCTGTGGGCATTCAGCTCCAGAACTAACCTTTGTGTCTGAGTCCTTTTTCTGTTCCTCTTCAGTCTTCAAGCAGCAACTGGAGTCTCTTTGTTACATCCAGCAAGTGTCCAATGTACTAATGGTTTTCTCTTCCACTCTCACCTCCTTCTTTGCATCTTACCTGCGCAGCACCCAAGCCTTACAGGTGACAGCTCTCCGTTTCTTTCCCATTTCTCACAGTGAGGCTGTCTGGGAGAACATGGCTCGCATGTGCGTGAAGACCCAGAGGCTCGACGTTGCCAGAATTTGCCTGGGAAACATGGGGCATGCAAGAGGAGCCAAGGCGCTGAGGGAGGCTGAACAAGAACCAGAGCAGGAGGCCAGAGTGGCTGTGCTGGCCATTCAGCTGGGCATGCTGGTAAACCCCGCCGACCATGTGCATCCAGAAACATCCACCCCTCTTAACCGGGGCCAAAAATGAGAAACTGATCATTTTGGTTTTGAATTTCGAGATGCAAAGACCTTGCTGGGGAGTAAAACCTATGGCCAGGTTTCCAAGGAGCGATGAAGAATAGTTCTGACAATTATTTTCCTGAAGTGGAGGTTTTATCCTAGGGAGCTAGTCATCTCCTTCAGCATTGCACAACCCCCTGCTGCACGGTTCCTGCGTGACACTGATCAGGAGTTTTCCCCAAACTCCAGAGGCTCAGCAGTCCCCTGAGCCCTTTTGTGTTCCTCAAAAGGTAGATGAGAATGAGGGTGGCAGAATCTGATGCCAGGAAATAAGAGCACCAGGAGCCATAGCCACGTACGGGTATAGCAAATCCGTTTGTCTGTTTTCTTAACTGCTGTACAGAATTTTCTATATGAGAAACTGCTGAGCGAAGGAAACATCTTTTAAGGATGGTTTATGTGTGAAACAGTAAACAGAAAAACTGTTTTCTTGGGGCACGGTTCTTCCAAGCTTGATCATTCTAGGTTTGACTGGAACCAAAAAAGAACGTACAGCATTCTGGCTAAAATGCTTCAACAAATCTATTTTAAGGTGCGATACAGGAAACGCCAGTTGCATTTTGACACGTTTGTTTGCGGAGTGAAAGGCTAAAGCTGTGTTCTACCGGAGAGCGAGGGCTGGCTCCAGGCACTGAAGCAGTTCAGGCAAAACTGGTGTTCCCTGTGGGCTTGGAGAGCTCTAGCGAGTCACATTCGCTGCTTGTCCTGTCCCAGGGATGCTCCACTACAGTTGCCCAGATTTCCATCCCAGTTTCTCCTGCTGTGGGAGCAGTACCTTGCCTGGACCCGGCACAGCCGGAGGCCGCGGTCAGGCTGTCCTCCTGTCTGCTGCGAGGGGTGCCTGTCCCTTGGACCTGTGTCTGGAGCCTGACTTGGCAGCAAATACATACCAAAATGGACCTTGTCTTTCCCATGTCCCTTTGTTGTAGTCGGATTACCAACAGAACTGATCTCTCAAGTGGGTCTGAGACCAGCAGTATCACGTGGATTGAAAACTGACCAGAGCGCTGTTCAGTCAGATGAATGATAAGAGCATGTGTTCACTCAGTTTGCCTTTAATTAATGTCTTCATCAATAATCTGTAAGAAAAACAGAGATTTTCAGTTCATGAACCGTAAAAAAATCCAGGCATGCGATCTGTAAGAGGGAAAAACTGGGAAAGGAGAATTGATTAAACACCCCACAGTTCATAGTGAATTGGATAAAAAATGGCAAGATGCTACGACAGCAAAAATCTGTTTGGGGCAGCGTCTGAGGAGGCACCACCCTGGGGCTTTGATTTGAGAACTTCTGTCTATGCATTTGTTGCAGCTACAGCTGGAACATTGACTTCCGCCCTCAAGTATCTCATTACCAGAAAAAAACGTTGATGAACTGGAAGAAGTTCAGAGAAAATCAGTGCAAATTGTTAAGCTCTTGGAAAGGTTTCACAGACAAGGAAATCTTTAAGATAGCGGAATAATTAGAATTTGGCTTAAAAAGGTCTTTAGCAATCTACAACTATTTTAGGAGTATAAATGCTAGAGAGAGAGTAACTATTTTGAGTTAAAGTGAAGAAGAAAAGGAAAATTAAAACTAGATGTTTGGAAAAGCTTCCTGGCAGAGAAAACTATGAGGCCGAGAAGCGTCAATATTCATCCTTTTAGATATTTAGCTCTGGCTGGAGTGGTGGAGGGACACTGTAGCAAAACGAATGCGGTTCGGTTGCTTTTTTCAGCTCATACAGAATCACAGTGCAAGCATCTTCCCCCCCTGCTTTCTATGCTTTTTTGAATTTGAAACAATAAGAGACAGAAACTATTTTTCTGTCTTGGACAGATAATCTCAATTTACTAAATATAGCGTTCAGCTGGACAGCAGTTGGGTGGAGCAGGAAAATGCTCCTTCCACAGGAGTACCTCTCAAAGCGTAAAAATAATAGTTCCAAATTTGCTCACCCTTGCGTCAGCATCGGCGAAATCCTCCTGGTCTAATTCTGCCTTACGTGACTCGCGTTTATTCCCAGGAATGGATCTCAGTTATCCATGACCAGCGTTGCTACCTCTGAGACCTACTCGGAGGTTGCAGGGGGTCCCCTGGCACATCACGCCTGCTTGCCACAAGCCCTAGCGCCCAGGACCTTCTCCTGGACCTCACCTCTGGGCGGGTGGTGTGGCCATTAACTGTAGCCCCACATGAGCATATCTCCCCTTTCCCAAACAGTTTACGTTCCTGATGACAGCGTTTAATTGTTGATGGCTTGCTCGTGCCACCCCCCAGTTGATTCTGTACAGTAAATGCCAGGATCTGAGCGCTTTCCTTATTTTCACATAAACATCCTGTTTCCCAGTAATGTGCTATTCCAGGCTACGTATATTTAGTTGGTTGAACCCCCTGCCTGAATTATTGTTACTTTAATTGCCTTACAGTGACCTGCACTAATACACCACCCAGAAGCGCAGGGTCTGTTGTGAGGGGCACCCATGAAACGCCGGTGGGAGCTAACGGGGTGTTGCGTGCTCTCCTTCCAGGAGGACGCCGAGCGGCTGTACGTGGCTTGCAAACGCTACGACCTCCTGAACAAGTTCTATCAAGCCTCAAACCAGTGGCAGAAAGCCATCGAAACAGCTGAAGTTCACGATCGGGTTCACCTACGCACCACCTACTACAACTACGCGAAGCACCTGGAGGCGACCGGAGAGCACAGTCTGGCACTCACCCAGTAAGCACCAGCCTGCGGCACGCCGGGAATTGGAACCTGTTCTCCCGTGAAGACTGGAGGCAGGCTCAGGAGGATGGTGTCTGGAGATGACTACTAACAATTAAAGTATTTTCCTGTTTCTGGAGCTTTCTATCTCATGGAGCGAAAGCATTGTTACAATAAATGCCCAGCACCCTCAGGTTGAGTGTCTTGTTGGGGCCAACGGTTGAACCCCACTAATATTCCATCCTGTACTTGGCTCTGGAAGACCATTGCCCTCTTTTCCTTCCTTTTCCATGACAAAAGTAGAGCTCTGGTGTGATCAGACAGACCCATTAGATGATGAAGGCGGGCAGGCAGGTGAGGAGAGACTCCAGCAGTAGATGGTGGCATTGGCGCAGCGATCTCGGGGTGGTGGCAAAGAGGCTGACGTTGCAGCAGATGGCAGGAGGCCCGGGCAAGACAGAGCCCTGGCCTTCTGCAGCCTTTTCAGCCAGTTGCACAGGGATGTGCTTAATGTTTGGGGCACTTTCTGGGGTATTTCTGTGCACCATCACTGGCACTTTTAACGTACTTACAGTTCTGTGATCACATTGCCTCCCTGACACCAGATGCCCTGCAGGACCATTGAACTTTTTATTTTTGACGGTGCTGCCAGACTGCACCTGCTTTTGCAGTGAACTTAGTAATACAAACGAAGCAGCGTTACCAGTGGTGTCACTCTCTCGCTGTCAAACAACATCAAATGGATTATTTTTTTAAAACAGGAAGTGAGCTAGTAAGAAGGTAGTAATTTCACATCTAATGTGTTCTTCTCTACAGCTATGAGAAGTCAGACACGCACAGGTTCGAGGTACCCCGAATGCTCTCTGAAGACTTACAAGCCCTGGAGAACTACATCAACAAGACGAAAGACAAGTCAGTGCTATGCTTGTCCCTTCTCCCCCATAGGACTTTTGGGTCTGAAATACAAGTTGTGAAGAGAGCAGGGAAGGAGTATGATGAATCTTCTCAGCTCCAGGTTCAGCCCTTGCCTTATCCATTATGATCCTCCTACAGCTTATCATCAGGATTGTGCTACATCTTGCTTAAAACCTGCCCCATGAGATGCTCAGCCTGACCTCCCTTACCATGCAGACCTCTGAACGTTACCCTTGAGTTGGGGTAAAGCCTTGTCTATGTCCTAAAAAACGTATCTAGTCTTGAGAGCAACATCTCCAGGAGTGAAAAATGCAGTCTCTGGCAATCCTTGTTACTGCAATTAATGCTGTTGCTTTTCTAGGAGCCTGTGGAAATGGTGGGCACAGTATCTGGAGAGCCAATCAGATATGGAATCTGCACTAAAATACTATGCACTGGCTCAGGATTATTTTTCCCTGGTCCGTGTCCACTGCTTTCAGGGCAACATCCAGAAGGTAAGGCAGCCTGTGTCATCTGCTTCCAGAGAGAATGCTCGTTCCTGGCACGAGTATGGGCACGAAGTAAAGCTGTACCATTTCCTTTTCAGGCTGCTGAAATCGCAAATGAAACGGGGAACTGGGCAGCGTCCTACCACTTGGCGCGCCAGTACGAGAGCCAGGATGAAATCAAGCAGGCTGTGCACTTCTACACCAGGGCCCAGGCGTTCAACAATGCCATCCGCTTGTGCAAGGTACGCGGAGAGCTACTGATGTCCAAAAGCAACGCAGGGGCCTCTCCTTAGGCGGCACACAGAATGGAAGCGGTACCAGTCGTTGGTGCCCATTCTCTCCTGAGACACTGCTTGCTCACGTACAGCCCACGATGAAGATGCTGCTGGTTGCTGCCTGCGTCTTCTACAAAAGATGCCTCAGTAAAGGCTGGGTTGTACGGGACAGTGTCTCCTTGTATAGCTCAACAGAAAACTGCCCGAAACAATCGCTGTTGCAGCTCAGTTGCTTGGGTTGGTTCTTACACAGAAGAGGGTTGATGGGCTACTATGTGCGAGTAAAAAGCTTGCAAGAAGAGAGACTTAGGAGATCTGTTTGCTGCATTACCTAGAGCCACATCTTTGCTTTTGAACAGGAGAACAATTTAGATGATCAGCTGATGAACCTGGCTCTTCTGAGCTCTCCAGAAGACATGATAGAGGCAGCCTGCTATTATGAGGAAAAGGGGGAGCAAATGGACAGAGCTGTCATGTTATACCATAAGGTAAATGTCTTCTTAGTCAAAAATACCAAATGTTAAACTGAAGTGGTTACTCCAGCAGAGGAACATCAAACCAACGGTAGTTTTTACTGTATGTACTGTTTACTAGTGATTACTTCATGGTAGGTGAGGCTTTATTAATCTACCCTAGAGCATCCTGCAAACAGATTCTGCAGTGCTTGTTCTAAAGGCTCGGTCCTCCTTTTGCAGGCAGGACATTTCTCCAAAGCACTGGAGCTAGCCTTTGCCACGCAGCAGTTTGGGGCCCTGCAGCTAATCGCCGAAGACCTGGATGAGAAATCAGACCCAGCTCTGCTAGCCCGCTGCTCTGACTTTTTCATTGAGCACGCTCAGTACGAGAAGGCGATGGAGTTGCTGCTAGCAGCCAAAAAGGTAAGCTCTGGCTGCTCCGGCCCCTCCGTGCATGGGTAAGGAGGAGCACAGCAGGCCTGCAGGAGCATGCACCAGCATGATCTTTGTTGGCAAACAGACACGGGGAGATATCTGTAAGGTTTGAAGGTTCCTCGTGTGCCAGTGACTCATGGGGCAGGCTCAAGTCTAGAAATGGATTCCTGACATTTGTCTCGTTTCTGGCTCGTCACCTGCAGATTTTGCACTCTTGGGAAAAGAAAACTCCTCCTTTCTAAACAACTAACATATTTGGAGACAGGGAAATTATAACATCATTAGTCAAAAAAACCCCAATACTGTCCCCCTTCTCATGCCACCGATGTAGTTAAGGTGCTTCATTTCTCACCCAAACTTTTGTGCACTTCTGCCTCACCCTCATTATTGTGCTGGCAACTCAGCCTGGCCAAAGCAGTTCTGTGCCCGCTCCTCTTTAAGGAGCTCCTGTGTCTTCCTTCCATGCTTTGCAAGGGTACAGTAGCCCTTTTCTGGGCTAAAAGCTGCTGTGTATCCTACTCATGATTTGTTCCTATATGGGAAGGAGCAAAATCTTTAACCAAGTCTTTCAAACGCCTGTATTTATTGTATTTGTGTTTGCTGCACACCTTAACATCATCGACCATGCGTAATAAATCGGACTTGTGTGTCTCTCAGAATGTCACGTTCAAAGAGATGAAACAGGTGAATCTTTAGTGCCACGCTAGTGTCCTCTGAGAAAACGGGGGAGAAGCAGTGGTCTTCCTGGAAGAACAATTGCTCATTTCTTAGCAAACAAAATGAGACAGCGTGTACTTGAACGGGAGTTGATGTTGGGATGCTTAACAATGTCCTGGAGCATCCACGTCTGCTGGCGTTTGTGCCTTCACATAGCCATCTTCTGTAGGTTACACCACAAGCAACATGAAGTACCACTGTAGTGTTTGCAACATCTCATTGCGTTCTCACCTCCATTAGTACCATGAAGCTCTGCAGCTTTGCCTGAAGCAGAACCTGACCATCACAGAGGAGATGGCTGAGAAGATGACAGTCTCTAAGGACTCCAAGGACCTCTCTGAGGAGTCCCGTAGGGAGCTGTTGGAGCAAATTGCTGATTGCTGCGTGAGACAAGGCAATTACCACATGGCGACCAAGAAGTACACGCAAGCAGGAAACAAGTTAAAGGTCAGTCTTGATTGGTAGAAAGAAAAGCTGAAGAGGCTGAGCCTGTTACCTTCCTAAGACTTCCCAAAACAAGGTGTTTTGAGAAGTAAATCTTGGAACAGTGTTCATGTAGGACACTATCCAGATGAGCTTCCCTGCCATCTTAGCATGGCTTGTGTGCTTGCATTACAATGGTATTTTTCCCCCCTCTTCCCTCCTACTCCCCTTTCCATTGCTAGGCTATGAGGGCACTCCTGAAATCTGGAGACACCGAGAAAATTGTCTTCTTTGCGGGAGTTTCCAGACAGAGGGAGATTTATATCATGGCAGCCAACTACCTGCAATCCCTGGATTGGCGAACGGACCCCGAGGTCATGAAGAACATCATTAGCTTCTACACTAAAGGGCGGGCCCTGGACCTGCTGGCAGGTTTCTATGATGCATGTGCTCAGGTACATCTCCCTTCTGTGACTCTGTTTGGTTTGTCAGCGCTCGAGCAAGACATTCAGCTCGTTTCTCCTCTCGCAGGTAGAAATCGATGAGTACCAGAACTACGAGAAAGCACACGGAGCACTGACAGAGGCATACAAGTGCCTTTCAAAAGCGAAGACTAGAAGCCCTCTGGAACAGGAAAGCAAACTTGCAACTTTGCAGAGCAAGATAACCCTAATTAAGCGCTTCATCCACGCTCGGAGGTGAGCTGCAGTATTCAGAGCACGTAAGCTAATGACACAAACATCAGGCAAGAAGCAAAGCTGCACCTACAGTTTAATAAATAACTTGCAGACTCGCTTCTAAAAGCTGCTGTTAGATTCTTCTAGCAGGGAAGCCACAATGTGATTTTTAAAAGTGCTGTTGACTAAATTAGAGATGAAAAGGTAACCTGAAATACGAGCAGTGTATGGGCCAAGGAACCAGAGCTCTGTCAGAAAGGCAGTTACGAAACATACCACAGTAAAAAAATTCTTCCCTGTTCTTTACGTGACAAGCCGAATGCTCCCCCAGCTTGTTCAGTTTCCTTTTGCTCCTTTCACTAGAGTTCACTCCGAAGATCCCAAGGAAGCAGTCAGACAGTGTGAACTTCTCCTAGCTGAACAAGATTTCGACAATGCCATCCGTCACGGCGACGTCTTGGGGTTTCTGGTTGAACATTATGTACAAGTGGAAGATTTCCGTACGGTAAGTTAATTCTTAATTCTTCCAATCTGCAGAGCCTGTATTTTATATACACCAGTGCACCTTGGTAGAGCAGTTGTCTCATACAGGAAGACATTCCATAGCAGAGACTCCTTTACAGGAGCTAAACTGCTCAGCAGGGCGTGGTAGACCTCAGAAATTCCATTCCATCCAAATTAATATATTTTTCATTTCATGGGACTGAAGAGAAAAAGAAAGCTCACAGGACACACAGCATAAATAGTGGTGGATTCCCAGTTATTAGGTAAGGACAGAAGGGTCTGTCTGGGAGCATGTCTCAGCAATTACACTGTGCTTCATTTGCCAGCTGGCCAAGGAAGAAAAGAAAAATGTAGATTTGAAATCATTTGAGGAAATGGTGAATCACTTCTTCAGGGCAGAAGCACCACACACCAGTGTTTGGACTAAACCAGAACTTGCTTTATTACGAAACACGAGGATGCCAACTGCTGGCTTCTCCAGCTGTGCTGATTAACCTTATTTCTAACGTGCTGTTTGACGGGACAAGGTAAAACCAGCCTTTGAGATCCCTTCTTTTTTAAGCTGGAAAAGCTAGGATTGACACAAGTCACTGCGAAAGGGCATGATGTCAGCAAAGGCTACAACTCCTGGTTAAGCGTGATCACCCTTCAACACCGAGCTCCTGTCAAGAGCTCAGCCACGCACGAAGGGTGGGCACTTTTCACGTTTGCTGGGACTCACGTGGCAGCACACCCTCCCCGTAACAGTCATCTCTCTGCATTGCTGCAGGCTCACCAGTATCTGGAAGAGATGCAGAAAAGAATTCCACCCACGAACCTGACCTACTACGTGACTCAGCAGACCGTTGAGGCCGTTCACCGAGGAGTGGGCATTCCCGTAAGCCGGACCCTGGTTCCAGGGCAAGCTCGCCACAGCAGTCTGGAGAACAAGGAGGTGGAGGAAGAAGTGGCAGATGAAGCCGAGGAGCCTTGATGGCTTACACTTGCCAAGCTGACTTTAATACCAGGTCATTTCTTCTGTCCTCGTTAGGGGTCACGCAGCAGTCAACACACTGCTGTGACAAGGCTTTTTGGTTATTACCAAGAAATTTCGTTTTCCTGCTTGACTGTACAAGCAACAGTATTGAAGTTAATATTATCTCAAGCACTACACACAAAGATTCTCGTGTGTATCCTGTTATGAATCTGGGTTTGGTATTTTAATAAATTTGAGGGGAAAATACACCAAGAACTGCATATTGTAACTTCAGGCCTTTTTCTGAGTACAGGAAAGAGCTGAGTAACTGAGGCAGACACTCCCGAGCTGACAACATTTTCACTTACAACTTTGATCTGCTGCAGTGCCAACTTATTTGTCATTCCCTGGAAGTCCAAACTTCTGAAAACAATCTCTGTCCTGTTTGGGTGGGAGCTTGGCGAAAAGTCAAACTGCTCCTCTGCTGCAGAATGAAGGGAGACTTCCCCCAACCCAAAGCTTTCATATTCAGATACATCACAGGCCATGTGGGCTAGAGCTACCATTTACAAAAATCTGGACTAAACCTCAGAATCCCAGAACATCTAGGGTTGGAGAAACCTCTGGAGGTCATCTGGTCCAATCCTCTCTGCTCAAGCTGTGTCACTTTGAGCCAGAGAAGCTTCTTCTCCGTAACACTACAGTTATGTCAAGCTACTCTGTACTAGTCAGATTTTAGGATGCAGATTTCTTGCCCGGCACAAGCAGGACCATGAGAAGTGACCAACATAAGCACCCAAGGTTTTGCTCACCTTTAAGTCTGTTACCCTGCCCCACAAAGGTGTACTTCTAAAGTCACTCTCATACATTTCACACCCACCAGCTCTTCTGCTTAGAGGGATTTTTCTTTTTTGTTTTGTGACTTGCTTCAAAACTTGGGGTGAACATGAAGGTGTTAAATTGTATGCTTTCAGGGAAGAAGGGTGCGGGGAGGTTTCAAGGCCAAAATTTGGATGTTAGTTATCCTTTAATAGAAACTTATTTCTGTACTGAGATTACACTAAAAGAATTCCTGTTTTGTGTGTTCCTAACCCCAGCACAGCTCTAGCTCAAGCCTTTAAGGTCTGGCCCATTTTCAGAGCTTCAGTGTAGCTATTCAGTTCTTGCACCTCAGCAGCAGCGTCATTCCCGACGCCGTGCCACCCCTTCCAACAGCAGACCAGCAACTATCCCACCCAACGCTGACTGCTGGAAGACACGGGAGCCTCTGTTATGGGCATGTCACAGACCGAGCCCTGGGAAGTAAGTGGCCCTTTCCAGCCCTGCTGTTTTCCTGACAAGAAGCCTGCTATGAGATCTTCCCTGTATTTTTAGCAGCGCGCTCAAAACTGCCAAGGTTATAAATAGCCGGGGTGGGGGCTGGGGAGGTGTGGGAGGATGGCAGTAGGAGCCTACCTTCCTGCATCTGAACACCCCGTACCGGACAGCAATAGCTCACTACATTGGCCTCCACTACAAAGTCCAGATGTCAAGTCAGGTTCACCGGCGTACAGCTCTGCACCCTTCCCCCTTCTTCCTCTTCTCCAGCCAGGTGACTGCTGACGAGGCCCCAGCAGTGCCTACACACATCCAGCTGGCAAGAGTACGGCAAGTAAAGGTCACTTCTTCTACCCTTCAGCTAGGAAGGGACAGTTTTGAGTTTCTTTTTCAGGTTCTCCATTAGTAGCAAGTTCTGCAAGGCCAGCCTCCTGCAGTCCCCATCCGGATCTTTCTCCACCACATCTGTAAAAGAAGCAGCCACTGTTAGCTGGAAAACAGGAAAAACTGCTCTTCACCTAAGACTTCTCTACTGTTTGACTGACCATCACAGAACAGCACCAAATGCAACAGCAGATGCAACTATGTCTGGGCTGGACAACAGCACTTGCAGAATTATGTTAGACGAGGAGGTGAAGATGCACAGACTTGATCGTCTTAAGCAGGGTGAGCTTAGCTGGGCCCTGACTGGCACAGGCAATAACGCTCAGTTCACTCTGCAGCAGGCACGAACAGCTGGGTTAAAGCACTATAGAAACTGCCTGGCCTTGCATTCCCTGGGATAACCTCCATCCCAGAGTTTACACTTGAGCCTTCGAGTGATACATAACCTTTCTAGAGCTGATCTACCACCATGAGTGCAGTTTGCAATTAGAAATCCACTTACTTAAATGTCTAAAAGTCTCCATTCTGCCAGTTCCTGCAATCTACACAAATGCTTAGTGCTCCCTCCCGAAATCTGTGCTCACGCAGCCCTTCAAACGGGGGAAAGAAGGAGGCAGGCCCCAAGTTTCAACACGTTCTCCACTCTGAGAGATTAGTCTTCTGAAAAACCAGTAGGTCTTTCACACTTTGTGCAGTGTGTAAGGGAGGGCCTGAAGCTGCTTCCAGCAGCTGTTATTTCAGGGGCCCTTAATGGGCCTGCGAAGTAAAAGCCAGGATGCACGCAGGATGTCTGAGCAGGGGGAGCCTGGCAGAGCAGCGAGCCCGTGTCAGGATATCCTGTACGCACAAGCGGTGTGCTCAGAGCTCGGTGCTGTCAGCCCAAACACATGACTCATTCGGATGGACTGAGCCTATTTATAACCTCAGCGAGAGCTTCACCATGGTGTTTCCAAACTCCCTCTACAGAAGGCAAAAGGGGGAGGCTACAAGACAGATTAATCCAAGCTCAAAAGCTAGGAGACTGGTGCTGGCACAGAGTCTAATTCCATGAGCGTGGACCTTGAACAGGTGCCACCAAAAGGGAGGCACAGGGCACTGGAGTATCATTCGGGTCCTTACCTATGACAGAGCTCTACAGCACTTGCAAGGGGTAGGGAATTCCCTCAAAGGCAGCTGCTGAGGAATCAAAGGAACTATTTCCTAGAAATATGTAGGTATTCCCTCCCTCCCTCCCCCGGG